CTTCTATCCATCCATCCATCCATCCATCCACCCCATCCCCCACCCACCACACCCCCGTGGAAAAAACTACCTGCAAGAAACTGGTCAAAACCCGTAGGCGAACCCAGATCATAATGCCTTTCCTAACATGACTTCAATAGTAGGCTATAGACAGAACCCAGATCGTAATGCTTTTCCTAACATGACTTCAATAGTAGGCTATAGACAGAACCCCGATCATGATGCTTTTCCTAACATGACTTCAATAGTAGGCTATAGACAGAACCCAGATCATGATGCTTTTCTTAACATGACTTCAATAGTAGGCTATAGACAGAACCCAGATCATGATGCTTTTCCTAACATGACTTCAATAGTAGGCTATAGACAGAACCCAGGTCATGATGCTTTTCTTAACATGACTTCAATAGTAGGCTATAGACAGAACCCAGATCATGATGCTTTTCCTAACATGACTTCAATAGTAGGCTATAGACAGAACCCAGATCATGATGTTTTTCCTAACATGACTTCAATAGTAGGCTATAGACAGAACCCAGATCATGATGCCTTTCCTAACATGACTTGAAGAGCAGGCTATAGACAGCCGTTCCCGTGAAAAGCGGCGCCCCGGGCGCACTGTTGAGACTATTTACCCGCCCCTGTTTATGTGAAGTACATGGGATTGTATCGTTTAATTGACTATTAAGGGCCTATCTTAAGACGATTTTGCCGCCCCCCCCCCAACCTGATATTGGTGCCAGAAGTGAAAGACCCTTTCTCCCCCCTCCTTAGCACGGCCCTGGGTATATGGAGGGTTAGGGGCCTCGGTGCATTGCTGTGCCCCGGGACTCCGCTGCTGTAAAGATGGCCCTGGCCACGGGTCGTAAAAGTGTCGTGGGGGGTCATCCATTCATTTCGTCAACAATTTTTCCGCAATTTTTTACCCCCTCCCCCCAACCCCTTGTCAAGATCTGTCAAACTTTCATTGACCCCCCCCCCTACTTTNACTATTTCATTATGTCAACATTTTATAACCCCCACCCCACCCCCACCCCCCCCCAAAAAAAAAAAAAATTATAAATAAATTTATAAATACGTTTTACATTGTGCTGATGTATTTTTAATAACACAAAATTGTAGGGAAAACATTTTATTACATCTTTAGCTTGTTCATCAACAAGTTCGAAAGTTTTTACAACGATTTTTCTGGCTCTATTTAAATTGCTATGTACTGTGGCGCCTCAAGTAATAAACAAGCCAAACAAGTTTCCCCTGAAAAAAAACTGAAATAACGCCCCTGATGGGCATAGTCTATAGTCGCTGATGTATCATTTTCATCTTGCGGAACTGATACAGACGTCAACATCATCCTTATCTAACCATTCAGCATTTAACATAGAAGCAGTGTCTGCGTGAGCAATAATTGCCTTATTAAGCTCTCTCTCTCTCTCTGTCTTTGAGTTGGTCTAGTTGTTATTTTAACACCAATGCGTTGGTGTTTCTTTTAATTGAACACCGAGTACAATGATGCGTTAATCATTCTAGGGAGCGGATTAAGAAGAAAAAAAAAAGACATGTGAAGAGATGCCAACTTTAGTTGTTGAACTATATTTGAATGATGAAGAGCCCCAGTGAAACCAATAAAACTGTGCAGTTGTCTTGTATCCATGTTAATAATCCCAATGCAGTCATCAAAAAATATTTTGGTAGTATTCAGTAAAAGGACTTTGTTAGTTTTCACTCTGCAGAGGTTGCAAAAAGGCCCATGAATAAATATCCCTAACTGGGTTCCATTTTCGTTCCCATGCAACACCACTCCACTGATATGAATTTTTTTTTTTTTTTAAATTGCCATTAAATTCATACGAGTTAAATTGTAAAACTAGCCCTCTGAAACGCACAAGGGACCTTGGGATTAGGATTGTTATATAGGAAAAAATTAAATAGCGTTTAAGTCTATCAAAGTGATGGGATTAACGTTCCAATTAAGAAATGACAGTTGTAAATAGAGTGGGTTTTGTGGGGTTAAACCGGGGACTTGAGAAATGCGATCGTGTGGCTGGTGCCATTATTATGTGAAGGAAAATTTTCGACGATTTCCTGGAAATTTGAATCTAAAAAAAAAAAGTATGAAAATTAATTCAGTAGTACAAGATCAAGCTGAGACGATATGTCTACCAGGGTTTGCCTCTCAGTAGGACAAGAGCAAGCTGAGACGATAGGTCTTCCAGTTCCAGGATTTCCCTCTCAGTAGGAAAAAAGCAAGCTGAGACGATAGGTCTTCTAGATCAAAGGTCGGCAAGGATCAAAGGTTAGCAAACCGGTAGTTAAATTATTTGAATCACACCACTGAAAACATGTTTTTATTTTTTTTTATACCAGAGTTGATAATTGAAATCAACAAAACGAGTACGAATCCATTGACTGCTGGATGACTCCATCGTTTTCAATCGTGTATTAGAACAGATTGGATTTACAAATAATTAATTATTCTGGACACTTTTTGAAGGTTACGCTCTCAGCTAAAGTAATGCTATAATTAGAAATATATTCCCGAAAGGTACGCATTTATTTAGTGTACCCTGCAATGTATCGGCCTAATATTAGTCCATGGACTTTGACCCACCAACCTGATTGTTTACATTTCCTTTTTTTTTTTGTTTGTAAAGGGTAAAGTTCACCAAGGACACATGAAACATTTGAAAATGAATGAACACGATTTAACGATTGCACATTTATAAACCGGTGTATTTAACAGTTCGACCGTGTCTAAATCTCTGATAGATTCAATATGTATAATTTGTTTTATTGATTTCGGGATAGATTAGTGACAGAAGAGGGACCGTTCTTAAAACTGCCCCCCACCCCCCACTAGCCGATTTATTTCATTTGGTAAGAGGGGCATAAGCATTTAAGCGACGCAAAATTAAATAATAGTTTTCGTATATTCAAAATAATGCACGGTGGCATGTAGAATCCCTGCGTTAGAGGATTCTATGCATTTTTTTTTTTACGCATTAGCGCTAAACGTCTTCTTGTATTCACTTTTTATAAGCATCAATTACAAACAGTAACCTACCAATGTTTGGTGTTAGGTTGCTTGTAACTTAACTGCCCAAATCTAGTCATTTTGTTTCCTGTGCATATGACACTACGATGAAGAGTTTTCAAACAAGTTGACCTCTTGCACCAAAATATTATTGTTACTTGGGCACATCCCCCCCCCCCCACTTTCAAAGTTCGAAGTTCGTGTATTATCCTACGTGCCGTCTAGCTCGCGTGGGCCTAGTTTTCAATATCTTAAGTAAAAATGATGGTGCTTTCAAAGAACATAGGCCCATTTAACCTTTCTTTTTTTTTCGCACTTAACAACGGGGAAGCCCTCAACAGCTTTACACTTTGTACCTTGGATCAGGAACCGCAATAGGTGGCTAGAGATAAAATCAAATATGTGTCACCTTTTATCATTTAAATCCCGTCAGGGGTGTGTAGTTCTGTGAAAAATGTGTGTGGGTGAAAGCTGAAAAAATTTAAATATTTAGGACGGATTTTATTTACACCCTGATCCTTCTCTTTTGTTCATCTCTCCATTAAATATTATAAATTATCATTCATATTTTTTTTTAAATTTTAATAAAATAAGGCTATTTAATTTATTTATCTTATTTTTAATTTCATTAATTTCACATTCTCGAAAATTTCTCGATGATATCAACAAAAAACTAATCTTATTTTCTTAAATTTATGTATAATAAATGTTTAATTCCTGCCCAAGTAAACTTCAAATAAAAACACATATATTTATAAATGTCATTTTCATGTTGGCCGTTGAACATTGGATACAATTTATTTCGTTCATATATATTTCTTTTAACCTGTTTTAAATTTTGACAAATTTCGATCTAGCCTACTGCAGTATCGAGCCAGCCACTTTTCAAAAGCATACCCAGTTGCGGACATGTCATTCAATTTCTATTCATAGTTTTTTGGGGGTTTTTTCGTTCATATTTTTCAATCCCAAAATCTCAGTATATTTCAATTAAACTATACCATTACTTTTTAAAAATCTTTATATTTTATAAATAGGCCTAATAAGATTTAGAAAAAGAACAGGTAAGGGGCGAAAAAAAAAATCAATGTTACGTCCATCTCGGTTATATTTTGATTATTTCGGTAGACAGGAAGACCCGTGAGACAGGCTATAAATAGGTTGTGAAAAAAATTGGTAACAATTAGCTCAGATCATTCACTTAAACGCCAAGAATGAACGCAGCCGCTACTGGATCAAACTTTTGGGTAAATAAAATTTAACCAAGTTTATTTTTTCCTAATAATTTTTAAATTTTGCTAAATGTATATATTCCTTGACTTTCACAAATTCGTATTGCAAAATTTAGGCATTACGTAATAAGAAATAAACGAGTTGTCAGTAGCACTGCGTACGTGCAATATAAAATACGAATTTTACTTTGTAATTTATGTCCCACCTTTTTATTTTACACCTTACATTATATTTTATTTATGTTGATTTTTCCACTTGTTTCTGAAATCTTATTTACAGTTTTCTCAACCTATTTTCTCTTGATGTTTGATTCTTTGGCATATGCCATAATTCATAATAAATAATGTTGGCATAAGCTTCATGTGTGTAGTGTGTATAATTTGACAATATTACAAAAAGAATTGAATATGAATAAATTGAATAATAATAATATGATTATGACATTGCCATTCACTCATTGACATTGTCAGTACGAATAATCATGTCAATTAGGACACCCTCAGCATCATGATAGATTGATTAGACTTAGACTAGTAGCACATATATGTCTTTTAGTTTAGTTGGTCCGTTACAGTGGATATTCTTGTAATGGGCCCTATCTGATCTAGATTTTCAGATCTGAAGCCATGTACCAAGGAACTTTGGACTTTGCTGTAAATTTTTTAAAAAAAGTTTTAAGATTAACTGCATGTTGCCTTGCAGCATTTTTAGTCACATGTAAATTTTTTAAAATTGTGACATCTGAACATTAAAACAATTTTTTTTTTATTTTCTTTAAAAGTTAAGTAACCTACATTTAATTTTAAATAATAGAGCTTTATTGGTAACTAATATTTACTAATAATGATAATGTAAATTAAACAAATAAAATTTTTAGTTTATCCTTTGCCTCATTCTTAATATTCAAATGTAATATTTCTGAAGTCTCAAAACTGTTGTTACCCATTTGTCAAGGTGAATCTTTATTCATAATTATAGTCATGGCATATTCAAAAGTGTAGAAACAGTTGTGTTACGCAAGATTAGTTTTGAGGATTTATCACAGGCGTGGCAATTTTAAAAGAAGAAGAAAACTTAAGCAGGACAAGGTCTATATAAAAGTCTCCAACATTATTTTATTGAACACTATTCATTCACATTTGTTCTGTCATCTTTAATATTTGATTCATGATGTTAATCATATTTTCAAAAATCTAAATTTTACAGATTCAGTTGAAGCAAGCAGCTGTTATAGTCAATGGCGGAATCGTTATATTTGCAGGCCTCAATTTGTATAGGGGCACAGAAAAGTTTTATGAAGAGATTGCCATGCCTATGTTTCGAATGCTTGGAGCTGAGACTGCCCACAACCTGAGCATCACACTTGCAAAATATAAAATTGTACCAAGGCCTCAGTTTGTTGATCCTCCATCTCTGGTAACAACGACTTGAGTTTTTCAAATTGTTTATTTTCCTCTTTTTATTTTTTTTCATTATAACATGACTGGGAGGATTGCTGTCTTTTTAGCATGGTTCTATGTTTTTTTTACAAGTTGACTCAGTACATCCAACTTCAACAAACTTCTTTTGCCCCAATCAGCATCCAGACCTGTTATAGGCCCAAGTGACAGAGAGAATTTTTTTACTCATGACTTACCTGCTCCCTAAGAGTAGTTGCCTTACTGGGCAAAAAAATCCTAGTCCATTTGAACACACTACCACTTTCTTGTGAAGCTGGCTATGCTACCCTTCCTATGAAAGTTAGGAAATTTTAAATTTGGTTCACTTAAGTGGGACTCGGTGAGCCACCCGTTATCCAAAGTATCATGAATCCAAAATAGTTGAAAAGTTTTGTGTTTTTTTTTTAAAAAACAGAATGTAATAACCTTTGTGAACCTTTTAAACATGTTTTGACAGAATAGCATTTTAGGTTGCAATGGACATGTTATGATATATAAATATAAAAATTCGATGACTTAATATCAACACTTTGTCTGACATATAAATGTAAAAGATGATGTATAAATCATCAAAATATTGTTTGAATATTGATGAAATGCTGCCAACACTTATTTTTTGCCATTAAAATGGGGAAATATTTTATATGTGGGAAGCCAAACTTTGATCAATACTAATACCAAATTTTTCATTTACTCCACACCAAAAAAAAAAGGAAGTTTCTTTTGCAGAGAGATAATCAAACTGTGATAATTATTTTGTTCCTGTCTTTACCATGTTCTTGATTTTTAAAAAAGCGCATTTTTAATTTTCTCAAAATTATGTTTCCCTTTGCAGAAAACCCAAGTTTGGGGTAAGACATTTCCTAACGTGGTTGGATTAGCCGCTGGCTTTGACAAACAGGGAGAAGCTGTAGATGGCCTCTTAAAAATGGGATTTGGTTTCATAGAGGTTGGCAGTGTGACTCCTGAACCTCAGCCTGGCAACCCAAAGCCGCGTGTATTTAGACTCACAGAGGATCGAGCTGTTGTGAACAGGTTTGTATTTTATCTTGAAATAAAACCCTCACTGATTTTAAACTTGTAACATGCATCGTCTGATTTCTGGTCAGATGTTTTGGCAAATTGTTTCCGCTGTTAATCCTAAGACTGTTTGTAGGAAGAGCAAGGACGGGCCATTTTTTACCATCCTTGGTCAATGGATAACAAGTCAATGTCCACAACAGGATTTGTCATTTGTGTTTTAATGCTTACCTTTCCTAATGCAGTGTAGCTATTAGCCAGTAGCTGGGGGAGTCTGGAGTCAAATGAGAAGCACATTTGTTTTTCAATTTTTTTTATTGTATACTGTATCAAATATTTAATTTTTTTTTAGTATGAAGAGTGTATGAATTTTTGCCTCTTCCTGTATAGATACGGCTTTAACAGTGATGGACATGATGCTGTATTCCAAAGACTATACAGAAGAAGTGCTGCTGAAATTAACCCAGGTATAATTCTTTTTCTTTTTCAGCATCATAGCCTCTTTGTTTTTTATTAATTAAAATGTAAGTACTTCCTCTTTAAATAAAGAAAAATTACGGCAATCATTCAATTACCATAAAATCTTGTGTCTATTTTATATCACTTGATTTTATTGAAATGTTCATGTATAATTTGTTTCACTCATGTATAATATGCAAACCCATTTTAGCTGCCAATAATCTGTTTTTCTTAAATGCGCTTTTCATTCAGAATAGTAATGCATATTCAAAGTGACTTTGTTGCTATAAATTTGTTTACCGTCTTCTACAACTGTGTTGTTTACCATTTTATTGTCTGGTAGCGGTAATTTCAAAATCTTATTTTAAAATGGTAGCCCTTACTTACTAAGCATTCTCATTTTGTTTGGGTTTTTTTTCTGGTTAAATATGAAAATATGGACACTGTTTGAAAACTATAGTAATCATATTCAATATTTGAATAATGGTTAATTGCTTAGTGGTCTCCATTTATGGCTAAAACAAAATACTAGTAAACGATCACCAGTGATTTATGTGTGCTGTATTTAAGTACATTGCAAATGAACACTTTGATCACACGAGTGTCTAGGAGTGCATATTTGGGTCTTAGGTTACCCATCCACCTACCTAGGGGAGCAGCGAAACATGCTTAACATTAATTTTTGGACAGAAGTGGAGGATGATAGGAAATCGGAATGGGACTGGATTAAAGTTCTTAAAAGAAGGAAACGTTTTAGAAAGAAAGGTAAACTGAATGTATCAGAATGGCAAATGTGTTATCTCCTTCTGGTGACTTTTCAAAAGAATTATCACAATTTGCTGGGGGGGGGGGGTTTTTGGGATTGTTGTTTTTTTGTCTAATCAGATGATTGTTTGTTGTATTATTTTAGCCTGAATACAATGACACATTGATTGGAGTAGAAAAAAAATTTAAGCAATTAATTTTTTTTGATTAAAAACATGCTTGTTTTAATTTTTTTTAAATTTATCCAAATGATAAATAAATTGGGCTAAATTTGGTGGGGGGGGGGGGTTTTTGGGATTGTTGTTTTTTTGTCTAATCAGATGATTGTTTGTTGTATTATTTTAGCCTGAATACAATGACACATTGATTGGAGTAGAAAAAAAATTTAAGCAATTAATTTTATTTGATTAAAAACATGCTTGTTTTAATTTTTTTTAAATTTATCCCAATGATAAATAAATTGGGCTTTGGTTTCCTGTTTCTGCATGTACAAGCAAGATTTTAAATCTTGCGCTGTCATGTGAAAGAAAAAAGTCCAAGTCAACATTCGTGCAGTTGAAACAATTTTTTTGTCTTCTCCAATAAATTAATGGTTTGATTCGCACCCTTTCCTTCAGAAAATGGTTTGCTTGGTGTAAATTTGGGTAAAAACAAGACATCTCCCGATGCCGTAGAGGATTATGTGAAGGGGGTCAGGAAATTCGGACCCGTGGCAGACTATTTGGTCATCAATGTGTCCAGCCCCAACACGCCCGGTCTCAGGGACATGCAGCGCCAGGAGGAGTTGGCCACGCTGATTGATAAGGTGAGCAGCAGCTCCAATGAGTATTGCAGGTTTTAACCAAATCAGAACGGACACATACTGGGGGGAAAATAAGGGCACAAGTTACAGGAAAATTTTAAAGAGGCGACAGCATTTTTTTGTGTTGTCGTCTCTTTTTAAATTTCACCATTTATTTCCTCATTAGAACGTGTTCACATTCTACTCATATTGTTCCACATACATTTGCTGTTAGGACTTATTGATGTTAGCTCTTATGTCTTTCATAAGAAGTTTACTGTTGCATCCGATCTAACATGTCCTTCATATAATTTTTTGTTGGTATTTTTTTCATAGTTGTTTTGTCAATGGGTAAAGTTCTTTGTTCTTTTTTAAATAAAGCTATTTTAAAATGTTGATCAAGTAATTTTTTTTCGTTTTAATGTCGGTTAAATATATTATCGCATCATAAACTAAAATATCGATGAAGTTTGGGTTGTGTGAGTTAAAATGTTCACTTCTTCAGGTTGTGGAAGAGAGGAACAAGCTGGCAGTGAACCCGAAGCCACCCCTCCTTGTTAAGATTGCACCAGATTTGAATGAAGAGGAGAAAAAAGACATAGCCACTGTGATCACTAGACCAAAGGTGCACACTGTTGTATTTTAGCAGTTAAATTACAGTATTTTAGTGTTCATGTGAATCACTCAAATTTACTCATACTGTTTAAATAAAATTTTAGTTAATCATGTAGTTACTTGAGATATACAATGAGATATATAAGTATATACTTTTTAAACAATAAATTTCTCATTAACCTAAATTTACTTTTCAAATATGTACTGTAAATGTATTGTTTCATTTCTTGTTTTAAATGCGTCATCTCAGTTCTTGTCGTTTATCTCAGAGTCAGTAAATAATAATAAATACAAACAGCATAATTTTAAGATTTCTTAAACATTGAATCTATAACATAGGGAGAATCAAGAACAAGAGCTTTATATTTAAATCAATCACCCATTAAAGAACAAACGAGATAGCTTTATTAGCATTAAGTAGTTCCATAGTTTACAACAAACGTTGTCTTTCCAGAGTAAAGTTGATGGTCTTATAATAAGCAACACCACTGTTGAAAGGCCCCAATCTCTGGTCAGCAAGAACAAGTCAGAAACTGGTGGTTTAAGTGGAGCGCCACTGAGAGAGAAGTCACTGGAGACGATAAGAGACATGTATAGGCTTACAAATGGTGAGTTTTATTAAAGTTATTTGTACGCTATATAATCTTCATCAACATAAATATTATTGTTTGGTATGTCACAGTCACAGAGTTATATTTGGATCTCTCAAGTACCCTAGTTAAAAAAATTTTAACTTAAGTCATTATATTGTTCTGTTTAGTTGATTCTTTTTTTTTTAATTCACAAATAAGTTAATATAAAACTAGGGATTAAGAAAAAATATGGGTTTTGGGAGTGTATTTGTGTAATTTATTTATTATATTAAAATATGTTAATATAAGATTGCTAGTATTTCTTATAGTGAATTTATGGTTGTAAAAATTAACCGAAAACATAATTATGTGTAGCAGTAACAAACTTTGTTTATTTGCTGTGAGTATCCTCCTTTTGTCTAATTCTATATAGGTCAAGTAGCTATCATAGGGGTGGGTGGTGTCAGCAGTGGAAAAGATGCCTATGACAAGGTCAAGGCCGGGGCAAGTCTGGTCCAACTGTATACAGCCATGATATACCAGGGACCCCCAGTGGTTGCCAAAATAAAGAGAGAACTGGATGAATTATTAAGGTGAGTTTTTTTCTCTTGGTTTTATCTTTGGAATATATCAAGAAAATTCACAAGAAAGCATTTTAAATAAACTTCATTTTTGTGTACAGTTGGCTTGGTACTCACAGGATAGGTTTTTTTTTATGGTAGATTCTTACATGAACATACAATTTTTAAAAGGAAATCCTTCTTTTAAAAATATAAATTTCCCTTTTTTTAAGAATTCAAGGATGCGGTTTTTTAAAATATGGTTGTTTTTTTTAAAATTAATATTTCATTGATGTCCTCTGCAATTGTATATTACAATCTACAAAATATCATCTGAAGTTATAATTTTTTATATATTATATATATGAGTGTATATCTAGATATATATTATATATAACATAAGTTTTAAAATTAGATTTTATCAAAATTATCATTAATTCATCAATTTCCATAACTCACCATTTCAGAAATGATGGATTCACTCACATATCAGAAGCAGTCGGTGCAGATTTCAGAAATAAGGTTTGACCTGTTGCAGGGAATCGATGTTTAGATGACAAATTCTTGTGGGCATGTTTTTCAGTTATTCCTGGCATCCACATTTAAACATTTTAACCAAGCATCAGGAAAGTATTTTTATGCATTAGATCTAACTTTAGGGTATTGATAAAAATTCCCTAACATTTTTTTAGGGGAAAAAGAATATACATCCAACAATATAAGGCTGTGTTGCTCATGGTTGAAATGGCCAGAAAGACTTTGACATTGTATGCTTGTAATTAGTTTTTGTAGTGTTGCGTTTGTTTTAAATGTGGTAAATTATAGATTTGTTTTTTGTTGACTTTGTACAGTGCTTCGAGCCTTTGGGGATGAAGCGTGTTTTTGAAATGAACTTTATTATTATTATTATTATTATTATTATATTTAAAATAGCTGAAATATTTTTTTAAAGAGATGAAGCTACTGTTTTGATTGATATAAATTACTCACCATTATGTAATTTGGTATGTCCATTGGTGCTTTAGAAAAAGGAAGAAAAAAAGAAGAATACAATAATTTTACTTGCAAGTTGGCAAGATGAATTGTGAGTTGCCTACAGTTTATAAATAATGCCGTTGTTTGTAAGAATATTAAAATGAGTGTGGATTTGTTGGTTTTTTTTTAGAGGTGATGAAAAAAATAATCCTTTGAACATGTATCTGAAGTACAAATCATTTTGTAAATTTTTAAATATGCAAACTGTTTGATTTTATACTGTATCTTGCTAAGCTGTTTGTTGAATTTACTGTAAATACATTTCTTTGTAAATATATAAATAGTTCTACTGCTGTAGGTAGTTAGACTTAATGAGATTTACTAAATAAATTTTGAATTGATACTTTCACACTAGAAAATTTGTATTCCTGGTGCTGATCCCATGTTTTGTCTGGAGAAATAAATAGACATAACTTATAACTGTCAATTTTCAGTTTTACCCAATGATGTTGTACTGTTCTGTTTTTGTCTTCAGGTTCTAAAATGGTTATAGAGCAGTACCATTTTAGTATCTTTAATACTTTTACAAGATGATTCATACCATCTCCCTAACCCCACGTCTCACAGATCTTATTAAATTTTTCTTAAACTTTTTTCTCCTATCTTATTAATCCTATCCTCCTATTGAATCTCCTCCAATGCATTCCACCTTACCTCTTTACATTTATTTTTACTGTATGATCTTGAACTTCCCCATAAAAATTGCTAAAATTTAAGTAAGAAATTGTTTATTGAGGAGTCATGTGGATATTGTTTCCTATTTCTGATCAAGCTAGAATGAACTTGGATAATTCAAGAGTTTAAAATTAGTTTTTTTTTTAAAGAATTTCAGAATTATCATAGCAGAATTTGTGCATAAATGTATGTGAACATCCTGCCTTCTCATACATACACACCCTTGCACAAAAATCTCCTTTAACTTATTTTCCATTCTATATAACATCAGTAAAGTGAATGAATTTTATTTGTTGACATTTAACTGTATTTAGTGCATTAAGGTTTATTTATTTATTTAGGCATTTTTATATAGCGCTCACCTTAAAGCTCTAAGCGCTTTACAATTATTAAAAACATGTAAACTAACTAAAATAAAAATGAGACATTAGGATAGTAACTACTATTACTATACTATAGAAACAATTAAAATGGCTATAAAACTAGGACACTTTGGCACGTTTTGGCCTATATTACAGGATTAACCCGAGACAGAAAATGAGGCAGGGCAAGGAGGGTGCATCACACGTCATAGGTTTAAATATTATAAAACATTAATGAAATAAGTTCAGAACACATTGCAGGCTAGGATTATCATTTTAATTCGTAAGGATTATTAATCCACACGCTCTTTCATTTATATGGAATAAGTCATGAATCATACATTAAATTTTTTTTTTACAATTTCGCTCACACCATAGAAAAGTACAGCATCTCTGGTTTGATTGACCCTGGAATAAGCAGGACATAAATGACAATGTCGCAAGAGAAATCATAAAAGTTACAAATTCAGAGATTCTTCTGGTATTTTTTTTTTTTTTGTTTGAGGAGAAAATTGCCTTCAGCAGTGACATTGGGAAACGCACACAAAAATAAATCATTTACATCTAGGAAAGTTTTTAAACTTGATGACAGCCCTTTTTTATTCAGAACACATTATTATTTAATTAATATCTATCTAAAGAAATCATCTGTAGCTTATAAGGAACAAATACAAATTTTATAAAAAAATTTTTAGCTTGATGCAGTAAGCATATATTCCAAAGCTTCTAGTTGATGACTAAAACAATAAAAATCCCAAGTCAATTTAAATATAATGAAACTGTACTTAAGCTTCCAACAAAAAATAAAATTTCACTGGTAAAATTATTGGTTTGTTTCTGTGTCTCAACAACAAAAGAATTGTGTGGAGGGAATGATATGGAGCATATAGGCAGCAACAACTTTGTCACAATTATTATGGTCCAGTCATAGTCAAAACTGATTCCATTGAAATCATGCCACGACAAACATCTTTTTATTTCAATTTTGTTTAAAAAGCTTAATTAAACATGTCTCTTCTTTAATTTTATAATCATTTCACTTTTTTTACTTACCAGTATCCAAAAGAATTTTTTTTTCCAGATGTATTTGGAAAAGACAAAAGTAAAAACTTGAAGAATAAATATAAGATAAAATACTAGATAAGAATTATGAGAAGTCTGAATAATGATATACATTCTATTAAAAGTATTACGCTACAAACCACTGTACCTAATTAAATGCTCTTTTAAATACTGAATCTACAAATCTGCTGAAAGAAAGCCTTTAAAGAATGAGGGTTTTCTATGAAGTAAACATAAAACTGATGCATAGATTCTTCCAATGAATTTACAAAAAAATACTTTTGAATTGCATTCAGTAATCAAATTGGGATGTCACAATGACCTTTCTAGTATAAAGTTCTAACCAAAAAAATAATCCATGATGACATATCTACCCCTCAAAAGGTAATGTTAAATGAATCTGTATCTACATATAATACGTCTCAAAAAACATAAACATACAATTAATAACTTATTCTGTTTAATTCTTTTACAACTGATTTTGATCAGTAATGGTGATTTTATTCCTATTTAGTGAACACACATAATAAATGTAAAGGCTTGTTTCAAAAACAACAGAATTTCTCTCCTTTTAAAAGAATAAATGGGTATATTTTACACCCTCTGAGTGGAATAATATTGTGAAGTTTTTGACAAACAAAATTTTAAATTTCATTGATTTGATTGAAATGTATGAAAAAGATTTAATTTCATGTGCAATTTTTCAAAATGATGAGAAAGGTAAAAACCTAGACATGCACGGGACAAAAAAAAAAAACAACAGCTCTTTAATTGACTCAAAATTTCACAATTTAAATTACAGTGAAAGGCTCCCTTTCTGCAAGAAGGGTTAACACGATTACACAATACAGATACTCTCCTGACTTTTCAGAGCCGTCAACCCTGAACCCTAATGCCATTATTTAACATAACTAGTCTTCAACTTCACATGAAGTGCTCTGTAACAAAATATACACAATGAAATGCACGATAAGTATTGAAAGAGGAATAAAATAGCATTCAGCAAAATGGAAAAATGTGAAAATATTCATGAAATAATTTAGAAAATGCATCAACCAAAGTCCTGCTTTTCCTGAAAGAAGAACAAACATATTATCCTTTTAAAGATGAAATCTCTTCGACATATACATGATCCAAATAATCCAGATTCATATTTCTAAAACAAAATGTCAACCCAGGACTACTCTGTGCAACATTCCATTATCAACCTAAACTTTACCCGAGATTTTTTAAATTTTTGTTACAATATGTTTCAACAAAAATTGGAGGAGTTACGCATCAATGGTTGATATAAAAAAATTGACGTAACATATAATTGTTGAGGAAATGGAGGAAAATAAAAAAAAAAAATTCTCAATTGAATTCTCTTATGTAGTCCAATGTTTCACAAATAAGATTTTATTTCAATATGGATTTTTTAAAAGTAAAAAATGATGAAAGAATCCATCACAATTTTGCAGGAGATTAGTCTGGATAATAAAAGCCTACTTAAATTTGTGAAATGTTATTTTGCTTTATATACCGGTACAAGTTATGTGGTAAAATGTGATAGATCAAAGCATTACTGAGTACAGGCTGCAAGGAAAAGGGGAAATCATTCCGCCAGCAAACTGATTGCACTAAAACAAGAGAAGTGTTTCTGTGAGCACCAGAAAGACTTTGATCAAGTATATTGTGACACAATGCAACAAAATACATCAACCCACAATGTGAGAGATCATCTAAAAGTAAGTTTTGGTTTTATACTTATAAACCGAAGGAGCAGTTTTTATTAACTTTACAATCCAAACATCTATCAAAATCTGAAATATTAGCTTTAGGGCTGCAGATGGGTTTTTTTTAAAGCAAATTTTGATAGATTCTGGCTTTAATAAAAACTTTACTTTGAAAAGGTCCTTAGGTAGAGGGGAGAGGGAGGGGGTTAGAGATATAACAAAATAAAAACAAATTTCAGAAGCAAAGTTATACATTTATTATCATAAGCCACTAGTAAAAGTGGCTTGAGAATTCTGAAACATGGGAAAGAAAATAGCATGAGAATCGTGAAAAAGAAAATGAATACAATTTTTAAAAAATGAGAGAATAACCTATTTTATTAACATGTCAAGCTTTGACAACCTCCGACGTAAAATAAAAAAAAATTAAAAAATTAAAGACAATCAATTGCTCAAATACTTTCAACTGTCTATAAGACAAAACGGAAAGATTTATGGCAGTTGATAGCAATGTAAAATAACACTCTGCAACAGTTGTGGGAAAACTGAATTCCCCAGTGATCAAACTATAAATAAGAAGTACAAGTCACCCTGCCATATGACACAAACAAGCAATTATTTTTCTTAAATGCAAAATTTTATAAAGAATAACAAGTTTTATCATTTGCTAGCAAAATATATTCTGAAATCTGACATCCCTTTAGGATAGCGGGCTAAACTTTTGACTGGATTTCAAAACCTAATTCACAACTCGTCACTGACACTTAAATTTATAGACCCAATCCAGAATCCGTATTTTGACTTGAAAAAAAAAATCCCATTGTTGAGTATGCTGGGACAGCCTGGTCGATCAAAACATGGAAAATTATTAAATTTTAAAATGCTTATTTCAAATTACTAGTCAAGTTCCTTTCACCACCTCACGTCTGTTACTTTCAAAAGTTGGAGACTGTGAGGGGCCGTCCTACTATCTTCAAATAAAATATGTCTTTTAAGAACATAGAGTGACAAATCTGTTTGTCTGAATTTTTCATCGCTGAAGTGAATTAGATGTTAAACCAAATAAGGCTTTTTCAATTGGGCAATAAGAATTTTCACTGAAATGTAACTTAAAATTCACAAAGTCCCAAATTTTTACTCAGGAAACCAAACATATTTTGGAAATATGTCAGAGCAAATTTCAGAATATAGCCATGAAGAATACTCTATTCCTGACATGAATTGCTGCCGCACTACTGAAAATTCAAGAATGTGTTGTCACACTGCTGACAAGTAAAAAGTGAATTGTCAAACTGCTGGCAAGTGACTGAATGAAGAATGACACCATGGTTTACAGCATTGCCTGAAATCTGTCAATGGTGTTGCCAAAAATGGTGTTGCCAAACACATTTGTAGAAATTAATCTGAGAATGCCTCCTTGCCCAAAATACTATTTGATATCAAGGACATGAATGAAAGCCAAGACGTCATGCCAACTAATTCATCTCTGCCGCTCTCTATGCTCTCTTTACCTAATAAATCACCGCTGTTAGTGGCATAGCTGTGGGTGGGGTCTCATTGTGTTAGTGGCATAGCTGCGAGTGGGGTCTCGTGTTAGTGGCATAGCTGTGAGTGGGGTCTCGTGTTAGTGGCATAGCTGTGAGTGGGGTCTCATTGTTTAGATGTAAGATCTAAAAGTTCTTAGCCTGGAGGAAAGTTTACTCGCCAATTAATTTCATTAACATAACACTGGCTAAATCATATCTCAAAATGACAGAAAAGTTTTTAAAGAACTCTCTGGGCTGGGGAGAATGCTGTATGTTATTGTTGGTTGGCCACTCAGAGATAGCCTTTTATGTCTTATCATATCTCCAATAAACAAAAAGAGAAGAAAAAAGGTACAGAAATGTTATAAAAATTAAACTATTTTTTTTTTGACTAACAAATAAGTTATACATTTTAAAAAATAAAAAAAAAATTCTGCAATGACACAACTGACTAACGACAAAGTGAAACACTAAAGACATTCTTCTCTCATTAGATTGTATTCACCACAATATTTTTGTTTAACCTGTAGAGCACCAACTTTCCAAATAAGACATCTGATTGAAAGACATTGTTTAACTTAAAATGATGTTGACCCAGTAAACTCTAATATGTTTCCTTTTTTTTATGATACAAAATTTTTCAAAAGCTCAAGGAAAACATCCCATATCTCTTTACAGTAGCACAAGGCAGACGGACAGGTAATGCCATGGCGTCTTAAAAAGTTTTATAGACCACACTTTATTCTAGTCCTTAATGACAAATAATTAAAATTTATGAATGGAATAAAAAAAAAATAATTTAATTTTAAAAATTATAAAGTAGTTTAATCCGGAAAGTCATAATATGAATAAAAGACGGCACAAAAGTAGAGAAACCATTGCTTAGTTTTAAAAATAGCTCAGTAGAGGTGACAGATTTGTCTTGTATCACTTTAAAAGTCTTATGACAAAGGGAAACAGTTTCAAAAGCAAACAGCACAGCCATGCGAATAAATCTATGACCACTTCAGAACTACACCAACTGTTGGGGTTTTCGTTTAATATTTCAGCTGAGCTTAAAAACATAATCTCTAATTACCTTCCCCCAGGAGTGTGTCTGAGCTAAACAAGAAAACTAAAGCAAACAAAAAAAAAAAAATTCAAGAAAAAATATCACAAAAATTACACTTCTTTTACACTTCCTTACTCAATAAATAAAATAAATTGATTTCACCATAAATTATAGGTGAAGAATCAGAGGAAAAAAAAATTCCTCTGACAAAAGTTTACAAAAGATGGACACAAGGTAGGGGAGACAATTCATTTTCCTCTTGCTTTAAAAAAAAATTATCATCGTCGAGCTGAGCAACAACGACTCAGAGCAAAACTCTTCTATAAATGTCACAAATATTTACATATCTCAAGCCTTGAAAGAAAACAATTTTAGTTGTGTGCACAATCAAAACAATTATCATCCACTCCAATCTGACACTCACACGCTTTCAAACCTGGACATGGTTCAAACACACTCTCAAATGTATATGTACATCAAGAATCAGACAAACAGATGATGAAACAGCTTTTATCATGTAACAGTTGCTTCCGCATGCAGATTGTTGTCCTGGCTTGTGGCATGGTGAATATAGTTGACTAGTCGCTGGCCCACTAAATATCTGGGGAGGGATAATATATGCAGAGATGGTTAACAGAATCATTGATTACTTTTGAAACATCAATAACCAATGGAAATTTTAACAAATCATTTCACATTTAAATGAAACATTTCAAAGAAATTTTCCCAGCCTTTTATTTAATCCGAACCCCCTTCCAATGGTCTGACCAGTTTCGCAACCACTTCAAACAGATTTACTTTTAAATTAAGAATGGATTTAAAATTTGAAAACAATGTCCTCCTAATTTGATTAATGAATTGCAAATTGAATCGTAGACATGGTCTGGCCAACACGTGGCCCACCTGCTGCCTGGAAGGTGAATAATTGTGGGCCCTTGAATGCATCACAAACAAACCCCCTTTACTTAAAATTCAATTTGCACTTATTTTCATTCTTGTTATAAGAGCACATTCGAAATTATTTAATGATATATAAATAATGATATATATCTGTATAGAGCATTTTGAATTTATCAAAAATTGTCTAGCGGGGGAGACCCCTCACCACAGAGGGAGACCCCTCACCACAGAGGGAGGCCCCTCACCACAGAGGGAGGCCCCACACCACAGACGGAGACCCCTCACCACAGAGGGAGACCCCCTCAGCAAAGAGGGAGACCCCTCAGCACAGAGGGAGACCCCTCACAGCAGAGGGAGATCCCTCACCACAGAGGAAGACCCCTCACCGCAGAGGGAGACCCTTCACCGCAGAGGGAGACCCACTCAGCACAGAGGGAGACCCACTCAGCACAGAGGGAGACCCCTCACCACAGAGGGAGACCCTTCACAGCAGAGGGAGAACCCTCAGCACAGAGGGAGACCCCCTTACCACAGAGGGAGACCCCCCTCACCACAGAGGGAGACCCCTCCACCACAGAGAGGGAGACCCCTCAGCACAGTGGGAGACCCCTCACCACAGCGGGAGACCCCTCAGCACAGAGGGAGACCCCTCAGCACAGAGGGAGACCCCTCACAGCAGAGGGAGATCCCTCACCGCAGAGGGAGACCCCTCACCGCAGAGGGAGACCCCTCACCGCAGAGGGAGACCCACTCAGCACAGAGGGAGACCCACTCAGCACAGAGGGAGACCCCTCACCACAGAGGGAGACCCTTCACAGCAGAGGGAGAACCCTCAGCACAGAGGGAGACCCCCTTACCACAGAGGGAGACCCCCCTCACCACAGAGGGAGACCCCTCCACCACAGAGAGGGAGACCCCTCAGCACAGTGGGAGACCCCTCACCACAGCGGGAGACCCCTCACCACAGAGGGAGACCCCTCACCACAGAGGGAGACCCCTCACCACTGAGGGAAACCTCTCAGCACAGTGGGAAACCCCCTCAGCACAGTGGGAAACCCCCTTAGCACAGTGGGAGACCCCCTCAGCACAGAGGGAGACCCCCCTCAGCACAGTGGGAGACCCCTCACCACAGAGGGAGACCCCTCACCACAGAGGGAGACCCCCTCAGCACACTTGGAGACCCCCTCAGCACAGAGTGAGACCCCTCAGCACAGTGGGAGACCCCTCACCACAGAGGGAGACCCCCTCAGCACAGTGGGAGACCCCATCAACACAGACGGAGACCCCTCAGCACAGTGGGAGACCCCTCATGACAGAGGGAGACCCCCGCAGCAAAGTGAGAGACCCCTCACAACAGAGGGAGACACCCACAGCACAGTGGGAGACCCCTCACCACAGAGGAAGACCCCTTCAGCACAGAGGGAGACCCCCTCACCACAGAGGGAGACCCCCTCAGCACAGAGGGAGATCCCCTCAGCACAGGGGGAGACCCCCTCAGCACAGGGGGAGACCCCTCAGCACAGTGGGAGACCCCTCAGCACGCTGGGAGACCCCCTCACCACAGAGGGAGACCCACTCAGCACAGAGGGAGACCCACTCAGCACAGAGGGAGACACCTTCACCACAGAGGAAGACCCCCTCACCACAGATCTACGACTTCTCAACAAAAAGAAATTACTGCAAATGCAAGAACCCAAAATTTAAAATTGTACCTTATATTTATATCACAACTTAAAGCTAATGCCTCCTCTGTTCGTATAATTCTTAGAAAATTCTTAATCTTGAAATGCCACCTTGCACCCTCTAGGTTAGGAAACCCTAATCTAAAGATTTATGACATCCTATGCACATGTTGAGACCCTCTGAAGAAAACCTGCACATGTTTAATGATAGCCTTGGGCTGACTTATGCCCCACCAGTCACTGGCTCAGGATGATGAAGATAGTGAATTAAATAAATCGGTTTTTAACTTGTGATTACTTGTATTTTTGGGATTTAAATTGTAGTCTGTAAATAAGTATAATAATTTTTAAATTCAACAGCATTCTGATGATATCATGACATTTTCTGATAATAGTTGACAATGAATGCCCGTGATAGTGTAAATTAGCATGCCAGTTGGCGTTCTAAGCAAAAATGGTGGTAGCACTACAAGCCTTATTCTTGTATTTATTTCTTTCATAAACATGTATGTAAATTCAGTCTTTTGACAGTTATAAGCTGAACTGAAAAGCTCTAACTCTTTTGTTTTTCTGCCTCAAGTTCATTTGTTATACTTCGTACCTTAAACCTTCACAGTGTGCTAAACTAACTATTGCGTAGGACTAGAAACACCACCATCTGACATCTACTCACTTGTCGTCTTTGATGTGGTTGTACAGCCTGCGAAACTGCCTAATCTGGAAGGTCAGCATGGCCGAGCAGACAATCACAGTTAAGACAAAGGGGTAGACCCTCCGCACCACAAGAGTCTGAGTTTCAAAACTGACACCTGCAGGAATAGAGTGAAAGTGGGATAGCAAAATTATTTACGTTGCCTCATTTTAAAAGTTTGTGATGTGACGATACTCTAAAATTGAAATTGACAACCCTTATACACCTATAAGAGTTCATTTTTCCAGGAAAAACTTGAAAAAATTCAACTCAAAAGTTAGAGTTAGGCTCATGAAAATGTGTGCATAACCACTCCTTGCACCATTATAAATCCAAAGGATATATGAAGACTAAATATAGATTTTTTCAGATATTTAAATTCCTGTGTGTGTGTATATATATATATATATATATATATATATATATATATCCTAAAACATTTAATTGAGAAAACGCAAATATGTTAAAACTATTCATCTCCTTGAATTTCTAAAAATTAATTTTAAAAATAGCCACACCATTTTATCATTCAAAGCACCTAAAAAAACAAGATGGTTACTCACCAAAAGCTGGGACAACGCTGTATGCTAAAACATATGGTACTGCCAGTGCCATGCCTAAACAAGTTGACACGGGCAGACAGATGTGCACCATGATAAATTTCATATTTAAGTTTCTCATTCCGTCATTGTACACCTAGGAAACAAACAAAACACAATATTAAATGATTGCTTGTTGTCTAGATCAATGCATGTTGACTTCAAAAAAATCATGTTAATTAAAAAATAACATAAACTCTTTTATAAGAACACTTAACCATTTTGTTAGCGTGTTATTTCTCAAAGGGGACCTCCTTAAAAACAGGAGTGAGGGATCTGATTTGAATTAGCTAAAAAATTTTAGGAACAAAAAATTATCTCCATGTTATGAAACTATAAAGGTCAATTACCCTCTCAATAGCTGACTTGAGCCACCACTGGGGGCCCATCATAACGACAGCTGTTAAGATTTTCATGTGGAGAACACCAAGCGCCCAGTCCTAGAAGAATATAAAGAGAACAAATCAATTATAGATTTTAAATTGAACAAATCTTATTCATAAATCTTAAACTTATTGATAAGCACACACACACACACAAGATAATTTTTAGGTGTTTTGGTATTGGTTTTTTGCGGGTTTTGGGGGGGGGGAGTGTCCTGAGACATGATCCAACAAGAATGCATACAAAGGAAAATCACAGTAGATGTGTAATTTTATCACAAGATGGCATGACTGTATCAGCTAAAATATTATAAAAAGACTGAACAACCACCACATGTTCATATTCTTATCTAAAGGTTAAGTGACTGATGGCAAGAGAGAGAGACAAAAAACTATGGGGTTGTGGATAACGGGACCCAGAAACCCCAATCCAAACCTGTCCAACCAGTAAACCTGAATGACATCTTCTCTACCAATCATCAACCGGTGGCATGGAAGATAAACAAGCCACCGTTGGTTAGTTTTTTACTTATTTGTTCTATTTGTAGATAATCAACCAAAGGCACACTGAGAACATTTTTACATTATTTTAATATGATTTGTTACATTTTATTTTCTATTTTAAATTTAAAGTGATTATTATTATTTTTTATTTAAAATGTTATTTTTATTTTCTATATTAAATTTAAATTGATTATTTTTATTTTCTATTTTTAAATTTAAATTGATTATTTTTATTTTCTATTTTTAAATTGATTATTTTTATTTTCTATTTTTAAATTGATTATTTTTATTTTCTATTTTAAATAGATTATTTTTAAGCAGAGTCTTTACAAAGCATAAAAAAAAGTTTATTCTAACATTTTTTTAGTTTTATTAAGAAATGTCCTTGAAAATTAATTACTTAAGATAAAACTGAAAGATAAATGTGTTCTTCTGAGGGTTAAATGGAAAAATAGAACATTATATGCATGGAGATGTGTCCAACTACTTGTTTGCAGTTGGGGTACTTGGATCATTGACTTTTTAAGAAATGAATGTCTAGATTTAGAAGAAAATTGTTGAAGTTTTAGCCACAGCTTATGGCACGTATACAACTGTTGTAATTAATCCAAGGATGGCACGTATACAACTGTTGTAATTAATCCAGGGATGGAACATATAAAACTGTTGTAATTAATCCAGGGATGGCACATATACAACTGTTGTAATTAATCCAAGGATGGCACGTATACAACTGTTGTAATTAATCCAGGGATGGCACGTATGCAACTGTATTAATTAATCCAGGGATGGAACGTATAAAACTGTTGTAATTAATCCAGGGATGGCACATATACAACTGTTGTAATTAATCCAAGGATGGCACGTATACAACTGTTGTAATTAATCCAGGGATGGCACGTATGCAACTGAATTAATTAATCCAGGGATGGAACGTATAAAACTGTTGTAATTAATCCAGGGATGGCACATATACAACTGTTGTAATTTATCCAAGGATGGCACATATACAACTGTTGTAATGTATCCAGGGATTATAATATAATATATTATAGATATTTCTTACCTGCCAGGGAAAAAAAATAGGTGACTGATCCAATGGCACTCTCATGGGAGCAACAATGATGACATCAAAAAGTAGACCAAGTAACAAGGGTATCACCACCAGCAGCACTAAGGCCATCACAAGGGACTTGATGATCTGAAGAACAAAGCATGGCATGAAATGAAAGCAATCGCCAACTTTTCCACAGAAACTACTAAGTGAATCAGACAGAAATATGTAAACAAAGAAATGTAATCTGCTTTCATAATTAAAGAATTCAATCCAAAACGTCCAACCATAAAATCTTTCAAAATATTCAAGTAACTCATAAGAGTAAAATAAAAAGGCCCTTGAAGTAATGAGTCAGTAGTTGTTACCCCCGTAGTAACAGTGCACACACCACTAGGGTTTCTTTATTTACAGTTGTAACCCCCCCCCCCTTGGTAACAGCACAAACAACCCTAGGATTTCTTTCTTTACAGCTGTAAGCCCTTGATGACAGCACTGGCTACATAATAAATGACTTCAATGACCTGACAGACTCCAGCTTTAACATTTATGTAGATTTCAATAGCAATTATTGTTGTAACAACTTTAAAACCTTGTGCATGTAAAAATTACACTGATCTAGATTCAAACGTCTTTATCCTTTAAATATCCCTTTAAAAAATTGCAAGAATTACTTTATCAAGCATTCAATAAAACAGTAGATTAGTCAAACCAACAGAAAATTCTACTTGCCAATAATCCCCAGAGTTTGAGTTTAGCCTTGATGATGGCCCAGCCCTGCAAGTACCACCCAGCTATGACCGTGGACACCCTGAGACATAACCAGCAAATGTACAACCCACATCCAGCAGTGTACAGCTCGTGAATCTTGGTGTCTCCTACCCACAACCACATCAGCTGTCTTCCGATGAACACTGAAAATTGAGATAAAATTATTTACCATCAGCATTTGGGGTCCATTTCCCATTAATTTTACATACTGAGAAAAGTTGATTGGCACAGTTAATTATAACATTTGTTTTTAGAATTAATTTATTTAGACAACAGACTGAAAAAATGTGCAGATCAATTTTTTTTCAGATTAATCTTTAAAGCAAAAGGATATATTCATTATTATTATGGATAAACCCAATAAAAAGATAAGTGACCTACTTGAGACATATTAAAAATAAATTACATCTATGACATCAATGCATGGAAGGGCAAATCTTACCAGGCAATACTAGAGAAATGGTGCTTGCAAAGAAAAATGTCAGACACATTAAAGTGACCAGAGCAATTATCTGAAATTTTATAGAAGAGGTTTTTAATTGATACACATAACAGTGTGAGGAAGCACAGGCAAGACAGACCCACATTCAGACGTAGAGATGCATGATGAACCCAACAAGAAAACCTTTGATGTAAGTTGTGAAAATATTTAGTTCACATCTTTTCAATTTATAATTTTTTTTTTCTCCGTAAACAGTAATGGACAAATAGTTTTTTTGTTTTTTGTTTAACTTCACATTAATTCAATATGTATTATTAACATTAATAAGCATTTTAGAGAAAAGTTCAGTTAAATTAAGGCTGAGAAAGTAAGAGAGAGAAAGTAAGTTTTCAGAAGTAGATATTGCATGATCAAACTAATTTTTACATACATAATGTATGTATTTAAAAGTGTGCCAAATGAATTTGCAGAAAGAATCTCTCACCATTTTTAGTTCACTATATAAGCACATTTAAAAATGCATTGCCATAGAAAAAAGGAGTAGCCTTGAATGTTAATTGTTGTCATTTTGTATTTCAAATACATAAAATATAGAAAGTCCTTTACCCTTGCTGCAAAAAATGAAGGTCTTTTGTAAGGCTGGAATCCTGTCGGGCCACCACCTTGTAGCATGGCTTGATGGGCCGCACCAAGGCCCTCGCCGAGGTCTTGGGGCGGGGGAGGGGGCCCTGCGTTGTTCAACCTTGCCTCTGGCGGATTGTGGGGCTCATTGCTGTCAACAATACTGTCAGCATCCTAAAGAGATTTGAATATAGTTGACATAAATAAAAAAAATTGAATGCTATTAAATGTATTATTAATTAATCAATTAAGTTACATTTGTTTTCAATTGTTTTTCATTTTGTCTGTTAGAGCAAGGAAACAAATTATTTTTAAATTTACAAAAAAAAAGACATTAACCTGCGTGAACTAATGGAAACTGATTTGAACTATACACTCAAGTATCCCTACCACTCCATCCAGGGAAACATCTCCAATGAGGTAGGACCTGAGGTCCAGCAGCCACGCCATGGCTTTAGACCAACCCTCTACCAGCTTCTTCAGCATGGCTCTTGTATGACCTGCTTCCAGTAAAGATGGTAGGACAACTTGTAACAGGAGGAGCTCCAGTGACAGTTCACTGACAGGGGCCTCACTAGATTTAATGAGACAAAACAATCCTTGAATGAAATATGGGAACTGCAAACAGATCACAAATTTAGAGAAATATTAAGTGGGATCACACAATCCTGTGATATGAAGTCATTGAAGTTTATAATGGGAGAAATCTACCCACTCTGATAAAGCAATCTAATCATATAACAAGACTTATTTGGGTAATTGTATGAAAATTCTAACAAATAACATATGCAACATTAGCCGTAATCAGCCAAGACTTCTGAAGAATAAATGTACAGAAATTTTTGTTAAATAGAATAAATTTTTAACAACCATATTTTTATTTAAAGGGATCTATTTAAGTTAACTGCTGTGGGCAGGCTTTGTGGCAAGACTAACCTTGAGACAACCACTCTGTATGGTAAAAAGCCAGGGAACACCATTCTGATGACTTTAATGGGCAGCCATAACATGAGTAAGACAGCACTTCCAAAGATTACCTGAATAATTATGGTAAGCGTTGAAGGCATGACACCAACCATTGGCATGTGTAAAATGGCATTTTTTAATATGACTTTAACATAGTGGATCTTATATATATATATATTTGTATATTTACTCATCAGATATAGATATATATATTTGGTAAAAAGGACAACAAAAAACAGTGGAGCAGTTAAATATAATGTAAAAGGAGTTTGGCATAAAAGGAGAGTGTCGTAAAGCGTAAAAATAGCTTTTTGTAGTAAAAGGAGCTTGTAGGAGTATCACCTCCAAGCAACAGAAATTATTTAACACAACTTGCAATTTAGACTAAATTTACGCTACTTCTTTCTTGCTTACCACAGATGCCAAGAATCGCCTGAAATGTCTCAGCACACAAAGATGGATCATCTAAAGAAATATAAGAATTTAACAAAGGAATGTTGATGGTCAATTATAGCCATGTAACGAAAGAGAAACAAATATATCATGAACTAAAATACAAAATTTTGTTGTAACAATTGTATGCTAATAATGCCACCTTAAACTCATTCAGGAAGTCAGCAGACGACTTTTTAAAGACCCCCACATCAAGATATGCAAATAACTCTGCAGGCTCACCTCCTGGATGGGATTGAACTCAGGATCATTTAGGTTACGCAGGAACCACAACACCCCAGGCCTCAAAACCTCCCGAGTCAAGAGGATGAAAGAGGCGAAGTAGAAGACATAGACCATGCCAACCAGCCAGTGGATGAACATGGAGGTGCCAGGAGACGAGAGGAAGCTGGATTCTCTGTCTTTGAGGGTGGCATCAAACATGGACTTTAAGAAAGAAAAAAAAAAGGAATAAATAAACTCGGGGACAATTACTGATGTTTAGTTGAGATGTCAGCGTAGACCAGTGGGGTTGGAAAATTAATTTTGAGACCAGGGATTATCTATATTAATTTTCCAACTTCAATTTTCATTTTAAATTTCTATTAACTTTTTTAAAACAAATACTTTACATTCTCCAATTTCTTTTTGGGCATGAAGATTTTTAATTTTTAAAAAATAATTTAAATTTTAAAAAAAAACGTCTCTACGCTCAACATCAACGCTAGCTATATTGCTTTGTTATCTTGCATGAGGTCTTACCAAGGAACAAATATCCAACCACCAGCCACAAATTAAAGGAAAAGCTCCGATTTCCATGACAACCAACAGCTTGACTTTGACGACAACATAACATAAGCCAAATATCCTTTGCCCTCTGTAAAAAGAAAAAAAAAAAAAACACTGATTAAAAATTGTACAAATTGTACAGGATATATTTTATTTATGCACTTTATGCTATTAGTTAAAAATCTTTAAAGATTATTTGAATGTCACANAAAACATAAGCCAAATATCCTTTGCCCTCTGTAAAAAGAAAAAAAAAAAAAAACGCTGATTAAAAATTGTACAAATTGTACAGGATATATTTTATTTATGCACTTTATGCTATTAGTTAAAAATCTTTAAAGATTATTTGAATGTCACAGAGATCTCAATTTGTTTTTGAAGTGCCATAATCTAAACATTCTTAAGTGCTTATTAATAATATAATATTTAAGGATGTTGAATTTCAATTTTTTAAAATCATTTTTGGCCAGCATCTTTCCTCTAGTTACAACAAATCATGTTAAAATTATAAACCTTTTTAAAGACGACACAATGAATCTCATTATTTGCATTAATAAACAGAAATATTTCATACTTAAGCTGTGTTTCTGATGCACAGATTGTACCAACTATACAACTCTTAAGCTGTGCTTCTGATGCACAGATTGTACCAACTATACAACTCTTAAGCTGTGGTTGTGATGCACCGATTGTACCAACTATACAACTCTTAAGCTGTGGTTGTGATGCACAGATTGTACCAACTATACAACTCTTAAGCTGTGGTTGTGATGCACAGATGGTACCAACTATACAACTCTTAAGCTGTGGTTGTGATGCACAGATGGTACCAACTATACAACTCTTAAAAGCTGTGATTGTGATGCACAGATTGTACCAACTATACAACTCTTAAGCTGTGGTTGTGATGCAAAGATGGTAACAACTATACAACTCTTAAAAGCTGTGATTGTGATGCACAGATTGTACCAACTATACAACTCTTAAGCTGTGGTTGTGATGCACAGATTGTACCAACTATACAACTGTTAAGCTATGGTTCTGATGCACAGGTTGTCCAACTCTGTAGCTCTCCAGGTTCAATGAAAAGATTAATAAGGTTTGATAATGACCAGTGTCCAAATGTTGCACAAGACCAGGCATAGTAAGGACACAGTTAAAGAGTTCAAGTTGCACCTGGTGGTGCATGTTCACATTTAGTGAGGATATATTCTAACAGTAGGTTTACTAGCCACTATCAGATAAATGTCTCATGTATATTGGACTATTCAGATCAGAGACTATGACCAAAAAAAATTCAGGGAAAAAAATGTTAAGTGTGAATTTTTACAATGCAAGAAGAGAGCGGGGGAGAAAACATGTTAAAAGTTTATCCAAACTCACTTTTTTAACCTAGTCAGGGAACACAGTGTGTAGATGATCAGCAGAGACACGGCTATGACAAGGTAGCCTGTCAGTGTGGTAAGAAGACCTTCAAAATGAGAGGCCAAAACCTAGAAGGAATAGGGGGGTTCAACACTTATTGCACAGGATTAGAATTAGAACTAAAACAACAATATGTTGGCCAGACATCATCATTTAACAAAAAAATGATATAGAATTAGAACTAAAACTATAATATGTTGGCCAGACATCATTATTTAACAACAAAAATTATATAGAATTAGAACTAAAAATATAATTTGTTGGCCAGACATCATCATTTAACAACAAAAATGATACAAAAGTGGTTCAATATTTAATCTAATTCTAATTACTAATTATTTAATAGTCTAAATCTAAAGAGGTACTATGGAGTAAATTTTTAACTGTCTACACCCTAGGAATTTTAACTGCCTACTTCCTAGGAATTGAGTTTACTGGATGCAATATAAATATATACTTTAAAATTATTAAGCTATCAGAAATTTTAACTACCAAATATCTGAAGATGTTTGCATATACTCACCAGATCTCCCATTTTCGCTCCCACCAGAGCAAAGTGGCCAATATGATAGGGGCAGAAGGCTGGAGGTAAATGAAATGATGTTAGCATTAAAATATTGTATGGTGTTAATCCACCTATGGCTAATTGAACATGATCAATCTTAAAAATAACTTTAACATGTTACCTAAGCCAAGTGTACATAACTTAAACTTCAAATTTACAAGAACACTCACCAAAGACCAAAATAAATAATGTGTTCAGAGAGACAACCCAGAATACATGCTCCTGTGATGGTTAAGACAAAAAAAAATGTTATGAGTTTAAAATTCAGTAAACATTTTAATTAATATGGCTATTAAATCAGAGCGATGAAAAAAAGTGGTATTGTTTTCAGATACTTTCAAGTTTACATTCAATTAAAAATGTCCCTTTATTCCTACATACACTATATAACTAGAATAATGAAAAAAAGTTTTATTGTTTTCAGATACTTTCAAGTTTACATTCAACTAAACATTTCCCTTTATTCCTACATACACTATCAAACCAAGCAATGAAAAAAAGTTTGAGAATTTTCAGACACATTCAAGTTTAGAAGCATTTTCTTTTAGTCCTGCATACATGTATCATCTAAATGGGATCTTGGTGATACTTTTTTTTTCAGATTTTCATGCAACATCCAGATGATAGTTAAGTGGTTGAGAAATGACAGCACCAGGGACGGTGCCTACTTACCAAAAACACTAAAGACCCATCCAGACCCAGCAACTGTCAGAGAAAAAGATAAGTCATCCAAGGATCAACACTTCACAAAACTGGAAACTCTACAAAAATGTTATTAACTAGCTTTTAACTTTTGTGGAAAAGTCTTTTTTTTAAAACTATATGAAGTAACTTGTTTGTTTTTTTTCAATTATGTAAATTTCTGTAAGAGAGTATACTTCAATTTACCCTTTCCCAGGTCAGCTCCTCTGCTGCTCTGTCCCATTCAATTGGGTTCCAGTTGTTGTCATCTGAAAATTATTTTTTAAAATGTAAAACAATTTTAGTTTGCATAGACATGCTAGAAATCAAGACAATATTAATTTGGTGATGGGAAATAGATTATCAACCAAACATTTAGCCTTGGCAAATAAACAAATATTTAGTTGACACCAGACTAATGTGTGAGAAGAACCATGAAACACATCGTCTTACCCTGGGCTGCAGCATTGTTCCCATTGTTGCCGTCCTCTCCAAGCGCTTCATCTACTTCCATGGCTTCTCCTGCCTCCTCATTGGCACCTGGGACATGCTCTCCTGGCTCCTGGGCTGCATTGTGATTGGCTGGCGCATTAACTGCACCTCCAGCCAATCCTCCAATAAGATTTAAATTGTTAAAGCCCCCTCCAGCTAGTCCGATGTTCTGAAATGGTTTGTTTGTTTCAATAGCTCATTATTAATACAAATAACCATTTCTGTTGGGCTCTTGAGATAAAAGTTATATGAGAGGATTAGGTATCACCCAACTGCTGAATGCTTGAGAATTATTAAACCCCATGGACTTACCTTTAGGCATAAAATATGGATGTTTACCTTCAAACCTCATCCACCAACACACATAAGTATTATTATAATCATTTACATAGCAGAGTGCATGGTTCTGACCTATCTAGTGCAGAATCACATATTTCCTGGCTTTGTCTAAAATAACTTGCAGTTACTACTAAATTCAATGTGGCCTCTCTAAATCCTCCATGTTCTGACTTAACATTAAAAACATTAAGGAGGATGTAAGCTCACTCTCTGTCCATTATTGGGTTGGCCAAGCTGCTCCAGCCACTCTGGACCACCACCATGTAGTATCTGTTCACGGAGCCATACCAAGCTGATGAAAGCACATAAAGTGCAGGTCACAACTAAGCAGCCTTGAAAACAGTCACCAGCCAAGTTTTCGCTAAGAAGAAAAAAACCACAAACTTTTTTCCAATTTGGAAAAGTAGGGAATAAATCTAAAAATAACAAAAATAATACTATATATAAATGTATATATAAATGTGTGTGTATGTATATATATATATATATATATATTTGTATGTATAAAAATTTAAACGTTAAGTACTCTCTGGTTCAACAAGTGTTTTCTTCCTTATCTTGAAAAGTTACAATAAATATATAATTTTTTTTTTCTAAACATAAAAATGACCCAAAAACATTAAGTTACTTATGTGAATATATCTGACTTACGTAGAGAGCATATCCAAAGGTAGTGTAAGAAGAGAACTGACTGAGCCAGTGAAAAGACACCTGTATATGCGACCTAAATAAGTTTTTTTAATAAAATGTTAAACATTTTTTTGTATTATTTTAAAATGTGTCTTTATATAATTTATGTATCTGGTAGTAACATTATGCTCCTGTTAAAGAGTGTGTCAATCAAAATCTGATTAAAATATTGAGTACACGTAAATTACGTTAATGTCAATTATAATGTTCCACACATAAAGAATGGTCTATAATAATTCACAAGTAGCGTGGGCCTATTGCACTCGAAGCCTTGGTCATTCCTGTAATGTTTTGTATTGCTATGCTATGTATTGTTTACTCCATCATACTGTAGTATAATTTATCTTAGATAAAGTATCAGTTTACCTTAGATAAATTATCATTCTGCAATGATGGGGCGGAACTTTATTCCCACCAATATGAAAGACTATAAGATACTCTGACAGACTCAGAATCCTTTAGTACAAAAAAACTGTACAATTAGATTTCTACTTATCTTAAACATTCAGTTGTAAACACACAGAACAAATAGACTCACATGCTGTAAGTGGCACAACCCCAAGCCAAGCAAAGGCCACCAAAGTGTAATGAAACCAATACCGAACAGCCCTCGCCATGCTGGTGACAAGGCCACTGACAATATCCTTGATGGGAAGTCGATTGGGCATGTCGGGTGAATAGACTGAAATTTATAAGGATTATATTTGATGATGTTGAAAATTTACAACAGGAAACAATTTAAAATGTGGTCGAGTATGTGTGTGGGAACAATATCTGTACACAACATAGTGTATGGGGGTGTATCTAGATATATATTCCATCAACCGTACGATTCATAAAAAAACTCTTAAAACTACAAAAGAATTACTTACTTGGGGTGAATGAAAATCTGTGTTTGCAAAGCTCACAATACTCTTTACGGCTGTATTTAAGCCACTGAACCAAGCTGAAAAAGAAGAATTTTAATTAATAATGTACTTTATCATTCTTTTTGAAAAATTTGTAAAGATATACAATATTATACATTCTATATATACTGTTTTACTCACACAAAATGTTTGTTTCTTGTTAATTTTTTACATCACGTACAATTTCTCCTAACGTTGGCATTATATTTTTGATTTGTTCTATTTTTTTGTTTGTTTCTTGTTAATTTTTTACATCATGTACAATTTCTCCTAACGTTGGCATTATATTTTTGATTAGTTTTATTTTAAAAAACAGATTAAAATTAATTACCAGTCCTGGTGAACATATTTGATGCTTCCAGTACACACACAGGGGTGATATAGTGGCTTATCTGAACTACCTTCACACCGGCAAACTCTGCAGATGTCTGCAAAACACATTAGCATTTCAATAGTAAATAAAATTATTTCACACAAATGATTAATTCCCTTTACAGGAGTTTAAAAATTACATGAAATGGAATTATATTTATGTTTATAATATGGTATCAATAAAGTTGTGTTGGGCTGTTGTTGGAATTGGATCTCAATAAGGAAGAACAATTTTCATAGTTAAGTACTATTTTCGCTCACAAGGAACTGGTCATGAAGGGGGCCCGAGTTTGAAAATATATGGCAGAACAATTCCAAGAGAGATTTAATAAGACAGTTCCATGAAACACGGTTATGCTGCCTTTTGTTAAGAAATTGTGCCATTTTGGAAGTGTACTGAGTCAGAGGAAGGGTAAAACTGGTCGGCCAGTAGCTGTTTCCACACATTAGAATCATGCACATGTTCTGCAGCCGATTCTTTATTTGCCCCAAAAAAGTCTATGATGAACATCTTTGAGACAGAACATCAGCAATACATCTGCTGGTCATTTGTTAAAGGACAAATGTGCATTTTTGTATCGGATACAGGTTGGACAAGCTTGACAGAGTCACATAAACAAGCCAGGATGATGTATTGTAGAGTATTTTTGGCCGTGGTCTACAAGGATTCATATAATATTTTAGGAATGTGTGGTTTTCGGAAGTCACATTCACTTGGATGACAACATCAATTGCCAGACACCTTGCTTCCTTGATATAAAGCAACCAGCTGTTATTGTCCAACGCACATGAGACAATATGGTGTGTCATTTAAGCACACAGTATATCAGGCCCATATTTCATTGAGGATAAAGAAGGTAATGCTCTCAGCATCACACATGAATGCTAAAGGGGCATGATGATAGAATAATTTCTTCAGGATTTGAGGAGCTTCTGTCCTGAAAGAAACCATCACATCAGTGGTATCAACAGGGCATGGTGACCAACCATATCACACGAGAATCTATTGTCTGCTGGAAAACTTTCCCGGATGAATCATTTCATATGGTACTGACTTTGCTTACCCGTCTCATTCCCCTGATCTTATATCACCTGATGCCTACTTGCAAAGAATGTTAAAGGAGAGTGTGTTCAAATGTGAAGATCCGCCAATTTACATTCAAGGCGCCACTTATTTCCCGAGGCTGCCATCTTGGTGGCCATGATGGCAGACGTGTCATGACAACCAAGATGGCAGCTGTGTAAACAACAATAAAAAGTGTAGTCCCAAAACAAGTTTGCTAAAATGGGGAGGGGAAAGAGAAAATGTGCTGTTTTTAGCTATTAACCGAGAAAAACGAAAATTAGGAACAAAGCGTTAATATTAAATGAAATAAATAATTTTTTAACAAATACATTTAATCCTAAAATCTACTACTCTACTTACCTAAATGCTAAATCAGTATCGTTGACTCATGCGTAAATTCCTCCCTAAATTTACCCCCTTCCCCAACTTGAGTGTAAATTTACCCTTAAAATTAGTCCCCCAACTTAAGCCTATATCTTCAAACCTAAAATCTATGACCTAATGCCTCAAGTGTTCAAGTGCTACAGTTACACACTGTACTGTACTGTACTGAGAAAATCATGAATTTGAATAAAAAGATTCAAATCATTTTTAAAATATATAAAATTATGAAAACCCAACTTAGAGTTTCATCAATACACTTTTACACACTTTATTGCAAGTTCCACCAAAAATGAAATCAAAACGTGTCAGAAAAATAAATTTGCCGAAAAAATTATACTATTATAATTAACTACCCCATGAATATTAATTTTCCACATTCAATCTGCGTTTTAATATTTTTTTTGTTTTAAGTCAACTCTAGTGACAATTCAAGAATAAAGCAAAGGGAGAGAATCCTACTTAGAAACTCAAAGTGGCTCTTCTAAGTAATATTAGCCAGCCCATTAGTATTTTTTATTGTCTATTCACCCCTTCATTCCGCCGCAGACAAACATATTCTTTCTGTTCCCAAGACATGAAATAAAACATGCAGTGAATGATCTTTCTCTTTCTGTGCCCCCAAACAATGGAATTCTCTCCCATTATGCATACGCAATTTACGGACCATCCAACGCGACCCTTCAAAACTGCCCTCAAGACACATCTCTTCAAACTCTACTATTCCAACTCATTCTCACCCCCCTTTTACTGATAAACAATGCTCAATGCTATATAAGAACTCTTTGATAATAATAATAATAATATTAGTAATATTAGTTTATTCTATTAGCATATAAGTATTAAGAGAAATTGTTAGTAGATTAGAAACAAAAAATAATAAATATGCCAGGCTAAATGTTTAATCTAGAAAAGAGCTGCAGGGAGCCGCAACTTGTTGACTGCTGGTTTAGGCCTATTTAAATCATGACTTAAATTATGATTAGACATTAATAAATTATGATTAGACATTAATCATTAGGTGTATGCTTTAAATGTTAACTCCAGTCCAGTCTTTGCTTAAAATTATGCCAGTTATGCCTTCATAGTCTTTTGGAGCCTGTAATTACTAAGACTTAGAAACTTGATAATGAATGGAAAATTCAAAGAGAAATAAATAAAAATCCAAATTTTAAAAAAAAAATCACATAATTTAGTTTTAGGACTAATGTATAATAATGTTATAGCCAGTCAGACAGATTATACTAAACTATACTATATGATTGTTGAATATAGACTAATCTAAGTTAACAAACTCTGCCGTTAGTCATACACAAGACTATTATAATTATATTTAATTATTATGAACAATTAAAAGTAAAATAGTAATTATTACTTGTCAATATAATAATTATTAGAGGGACAGTCATGGATAACGGAAAGAAAATGGTTAGGCTACACTCATTTCTTAGTGTAATTTTTGTTCAGCGTAATATTAGAAATGAGAAAATTTTTCTGGCATTGTGGAATGGGTATAGATTTTTTTGACAACTTTTGGATTTTAATTTTGGTGGAACCATGCAATAAAGTGTGTTAAAGTTGTTATGTGAAACTGTAAGTAAGGTTTTCATCCTTCTACAAATATTTTGTATTGTTTTTCATCATTTTTACACTTTTCTCACCAAAGTGTGTGATTGTAGCACACACGCACTAGTTGAGGGAAGGGAGTGACCGCTGGTCATTGACACTTCTTGCCACATATCTAAAAGGATACAATAAATTTGCTAAGCTCACCACCAAATTAATGTACCGGCTGAAATGATGCCAAGAAAGGAGGCAACAGCAGGTCGCTGACATTTCTTGCCACACAGTGGAGGAATACAATAAAGTTTATAAATTTATACTCCCCAGGAAATTAATGTATCAGCTGCAATTATTCAATTAAATATTAAAGTTTCATTTCTATTTTCGTTTCTCTTGGTAAGTAGCTAAAACAGGACATTCTCTCTCTAACCTTCTGCATTTTATTTTAGCAGACGTGTTATGGGAAATAAGTGGCGCTTGGAATCAACAAACATTTACCTAATAGAATATTCAATTCAATTGATATAATATAGTCATAGTGATTAGTCAACCAATTGTCATTTAAATCTTAATCCACCTCATTCTCATCTTAAGACCATTATGCAGCTACGGCTTAAATAAATATTTTCTTAGCCGACACTGATATAATTTATGAAATGGTTTGGCTAATGTGAAGAGATAGCACCCTGGCATTATTTGTGTTTTGTCTCTGGTTCCGATAGGGTCAAAACCCTGGTTCTGATAGTGAAAGGGTCAAAACCCAGGGGTTTAGGCTTAGGGATAGATTTAGGGTTCAGGTTTTTAGGGATAAATTTAGGACATAAGTTCGCCATGGTAAAAAAAAAGGAAGTGTCTATTGGTAGTTCACTACCAATAGCTGCTTAGAGGCTATTGGTAGTGAACTACCAATAGCTACTAGAGAGCTATTGGTAGTCCAGCCAATCAAATCAAACCAAAACCGGAACTTTAAAAACCCGCTTTCTATGACGAGGGTGAAGCAATGGCTCGTTCATTTTTTACTAGTTCGTACTAGTGACAACACCTGCCTAGAAATGAATCCTGAAAGTGTTTTAGCTGCAAATTGCCATTTTGATACATTCAAAGATTTGGAAATAGCCATCAAAGCCTTAGAAGAGCTTCAAAATGCTGTCTTTATAAAAAAGAGTTCTAAAAAGGTAAGCCTATCTAACTATCTTTATTTATTGATTTTTACAATTTATTTATTGTTAAAAAGCGCATTTTTTAAAATAGATTTATAGATATATTATTATACTATACAGTTTAAGTATAATATTAATTTCATAGGTAAATGTTAAGGACGACTGCCACTATTACAATTTATTTATTGTTAAAAAGCGCATTTTTTAAAATAGATTTATAGATATATTATTATACAGTTTAAGTATAATATTAATTTCATAGGTAAATGTTAAGGACGACTGCCACTATTTTATCGAATTTCACGAATGTATCCCTAGATCGATCCCTATGCCTAACCTGAACCCTAAATAGATCCCTATGCCTAACCTGAACCCTAAATCGATCCCTCAACCTAAGCTAAACCCTAATTTACTGCAACTATAATAAACACCCAAAAGACCCCGTGGCAGCCATCCTTAACATTAGCAATAATTTCATACAATATACATGTATTATAATTATAATGTATTCATTTGTTTCATTAAATTTAGCTACCAGCTACAAATGGATCCACTGAGTATGAGACTCTTGTTTACCAGTTCATTCTCTATGAATGCAAGCATGGCACAGAGAGGGCGTCAAAATCGAAGGGCTTGCGACCTAACCAAAGGTTTGTTCTTTTTTAGAATGTTACTGTTAAATAATATACAAGTTAAGAACTTGTTAAAACTATATGTTACACTTTAAATGACCATAGTTAATGTTGTTTAAAACAGTTTCTTTATTTTATAGGTCATTAAAACTAGGCTGTCCAGCCAAATTGAGAGTTAAAATGGTTAAAGTCAACGACAACTGGAAGTTGCAAGTAGTGCAATCGGATTTAGTTCATGCTAACCACATGCTGTCC